AGGGCTTTAGTCAACCCCTTCTTCTGACAGCCATCCAGTAAAGCAGAACGGCTCAGCCCCAGGTTCCACAGCCACCGTGCAATTTACTGTCCAAACCTGATGCTTCTGAGAGTGAAAGTCATAATTATTCCAGGACGACAGGAGTAAAGTAGGCCGGTCCTGGGCACAGTGGGATGTGTGGTCACCCCAGCCATGTAGCACGAGGCTGGTCCTGCAGGGACACTCTCCCTGTGACTGTCGCCTCCCCTAATCTAGCCCTGGCCATTGAAGCTGGGTTCACACCCTGGAGCACCCTAACCCTCCTCAGAGCCAGGCCTGTGGAAAGCAGGGTCTCTCCCATTCCAGGTCCATTTCCCCACACCCTTTGTTTTTTGGATGACTGACACGGGTACCACACTGTCTTCAGGGAAATCCCAGCCTCCAGAGGAATGTGGTCCTTCCTGGGGCCTGGTGGGGGACAGGCTGGAGAACCCCTAGGAGCCTGCCCACCCTAGAAGGGTGCAGAGTGGGGTTACCCACAACCCCCTGCACTGTCCATGCCCTCCACCTTGGCAAAACCGTGGGATCCCTAGTCTCCTCCCTCCCCTCTACCTCCCAATTGTAATAGGCCACCAGGAGGTGTCCCTGGTGGGTTCTGGTTCTAGTTCATTCGTCCTCTCCAGCCCCTGCCTGAAGCACTGCAACAGGCGCCCTCCAGGTCTCACAGGCCTCAAACTGTCTTCCCTGCCACAACATGTAAACCCAAGTCTGAACACAGCACTCCAAGTAGACAAAACAAAAAGAACAAAAACAAAGACCCTCTGTGGGAGGCAAAACACATGAAAAAACAAAAACATCACTCTAGAACTCCACTTCCCCACCAGATACAGTCTAACACTTCCTCTATGAACTGACTCCAAAGTTGCTCTCAGCCTTGTTCCCAACGCTGAGCTACTTACCAGCTCCCCTGTGTCCGTTCCCCCTTTGTCGCTGCCTCTGCCTGCTGGATTCCTGCAGCTTCTTTAAGGCCCTCCCAGGCCTGACCACCTCTGCCCCAACCCCTGAGCTCCCCGGGGTGCCCTTAGCCCAGACCAGGTGTGAGGGCGCTTCTGTGTCTTCCGTCTCCCACAGGGGGAGGGTGGCCTAGTGTAGACTCAATCAATAGCGGTTGAACTGGCTGATCCCTCCTACTCACTCCTGCTTCTCCAGAAGGGCGCCCTGAGGAATGGACAGGATGTTCTGAGTTCCCTGCTAACTCTGAAATCCCTTAATGCTGCAGCCTAGGGCTAGCCACTTAGCCATCACTCTGTTTGAATCCCACCAACAAAAAAAGAAAAAAAAAATTTTTTTTTTAATGCTGCTATAACCAGAAGTCTTAAGACATGGCCCAGAGACCCCTGGGGGTCTCCAAGACCCTCTCAGGGGGCCTGCGAGGTCAGAACTGTTTTCATAGTAAAACTAAGAGATTATTTGCCTTTTTGTTCTCATTTCTTCACAAGTGTACAGTGTTTTCCAGAACTATATGATAGGTGGATTTGCAACAGAATGAACGCAGAAGCAAATGAGAACCCAGCTGCTTTCATCAAGCTTAAAAACATAAAACAATGCCATTCTTTTCATAAAATTTGCTCGTTTCGGAAAATAGAATCATTTTTCTTTAAAAATATGTTAATGTGTAATGGATTTTTATTTTTAATTTAGAACATTTTAAACTTCTCAATTTTAATCTCAAATACACTAAATGTTGCCAGTTGTTATGGTCCGTGTAAGTAACAACTCCTGGGATCTTCAGTTTTTAATCTTTAAAGGGGTCCTGAGACTCCTAAGCCCTTCTCACACCCTCGGTCACCCCTCTGCTTCTCTCTCAGCAGCCAGCTTCTTGAGAGTGATCTCTTCCCCTCCTACAGGCTCCCCAGTTCTGACTTGTGGCTTCCGGCCAATCTTCCTGACATTGCTCTCACTGCAGCCACAGAGGACCCCCTAGCATTCCATTCCTCTTCCATATTTCCTTGGCCATTCGGCAGCATGACCCTGGTTCTCCTCCTCCCTCTCCAGCTGCGTGTTCTCTCCAATTCTTGCTTCACTCAGGCCACCAGGGCTGGGCGCCTCAGGGCTGGGCCTGGGCCCTGTTCCCTTCTCTCTCCACCGCCAAGGCTTTCAAATACTGTCTCCACGGGTATGGCCCCCACACCTCTAACTCCAGCCTTGTTTCTCTCCTGAATCGAAGACCCACATCCCCAGCAGTCCTCAGACATTTGAGCGGATGCCTCTGCCCCACACTGGTACCCCAGCTCACACAACCAGGGCCCCTCTCTAGCCCTGCCCTTCCACCCCTCCAGCTGTACCAGCAGCCCTGGCCCTCGGCCGCTGCCTCACCCTCCCCGTCAGCCAGCCACGCCAAGCCCAGCCAGCCTCATGCCCTGAGCGCTCTCAGATCCATCCTCACGCCCATTGCCACTGCCACACCTCGGCTCAGGCCACCTTCGTCCCTCCCCGGCCTGTGTCTGGCCTTCTGGCTCCAACCTGACACAGAAGCCAGGCTTCCTCTCAAGCAGTCTCTTCCCTGCTCAGAATCCACAGGAGGAAAGCCACCTCCACGGCGCAGCACAGCTGAGCAGGCCCAGCCAGCGGGAGGTGGTCCTGTCCCCCTGTCCGGTCCCAATTCCCATGCCCACTCCACTGCGTCCGCTCTGTCACCTCTCGTCTGACCTCACTGCCCGCTCTGGCATAAGCTGTCCCCCCCTCAGGCTCAGGGCTCAGCCTCCTCACTCCTTCCCTCAGAAAGCCTTCCCTGGGGCACCTGGGTGGCTCAGTTGGTTGAGCGACTGCCTTCGGCTCAGGTCATGATCCTGGAGTCCCGGGATCGAGTCCCGCAGCGGGCTCCCTGCTCGGCAGGGAGTCTGCTTCTCCCTCTGACCCTCTTCCCTCTCGTGCTTTCTCTCTCTCTCTCTCAAATAAATAAAATCTTTAAAAAAAAAAAAAAAGAAAGAAAGCCTTCCCCGCCCGCCCCTCTCAGCGGAATGCTGTCTCCTCCCGTCACAGCACACCGCATGCTGAACGGTCACCGTTCAAAGAAAGAAAAAAAGGGAAGTCACCATTCGGAGTTTCTAGGCCGAGTTCCCTAAGGAGGGAGATTGCTTCACTGCTGTGTCCCCAGGGCCCAGGTCGGTGCCTGGCATATCGTTTAGTCCATACTTCAATGAATGGCTTGAAGAGCGTGAGCCCACGTGCGGCTGGCAAGCAGCCCTTTCCCCCCCACCTCCCCCGTACTCAGTAGAGTAGGGTTCTGCTGAGCCCCCGAACTGGCTGTCCAGCCCTGCCCTGGCCCAGGAGGTGGCTGCCCCAGCCTCCCTGCTCCCCGCTGCCTCCTCCTGCTATGTTGCCCTCACGAGCTCCCAGAACTTGGCTGAACTCCACACTTCCCCCATCAGTGGCCAAGACATGAGGCCACCAACACACCAAGGCACAACGGCTGCCCAGCTGGTCAGAGCTGACCCCGCTGGGGACATCCAGACCAATCCAGGGCACCAGCCACCACAAAAGCAGCAACAACACATACCACACAGCGTCCCAGTGTAAACTGATGCCCAGAGGGCTCAGGAAGTTTTCTGGAGGTCACTGGGCCAAGGAGGGAAGAGGCTGGGGTGGAGCCAGGCTCTTCTGCTATGAAAAAGCTGTCACGTGGGTCCTGTACCTATTCTGCGGGTCCAGGAGTAAGAGGCTGAGCCCACTGAGGGGCCGTTCTGAGATCCTGGGGGCTGGGCTTTGCACCCCAGGGATGGGAGTGGGGCTTTGGGGGTGTGCAGCAGCCAGGGGCAGGCAGAGAGTAAACAAGAAGTGGCCCGGAGGGCACCCTGGCAACTAACTCATTCCACAGTGAGCAAGAGTCCTGGCAGGTCAGGTTAACGGAGAAGGCACAGCCCACACCACAGCCCCGGGAGGCAACAGTAAGCACCTGGATCTCAAAACCAAAAGGTCCTCCAAAAGGCCACAGGCCTCTGCTGTCAGCATTGTTGAAGTGGTCACCACCCTCCCCTAACACGCATGCTCCTTTAGCAGGAACCCAGGGGTCTCCTCTCGAGGTGAGCAAGAGGCGGTGGCTAGAGGAAGACCTGGTCTGACCTCCAAGCCCACCAGCCTCCTCGGGGCAGCTGAGAGGAGACCTAGAGTACCAGGTCCATGGTAAGTACACTGCGCATGGGGCTGCCAAGTAGAGCCACACGGCAGAATTCTGCACACCTCGGAATTCTGCACTAAGACATGAAAGGTGCCCATGGAAGTGGTGCAACCTGGCCCCTAGCCCTGCCTGCTCAGCTGCTCCCCCCACCGCAAGAGAGGGACGGAGGCAAAGAGGGAGCCCTTGCCCCTCTCATATGCCTTCCAGGGCTTCACCACGTCCCTTGCCCCAACAGCCCATCTGAAGAACCACATTCCAGCACAACAGATAGTAAGAGATCAGTTTATAGATAACAGTATGGGACAGACTGGGGAGGTACCAGGGCCCATAGTGATGAGTTTCCTGGAAACAGATCAACAGACAGACAAGCAGACAGACAGAGGGACAGGAAACAGCCAAATGGTTCAGAGGCCCAGGCTCCAGATCCAGTTCTGCCCTGGGAACCTGGGGGGTGAGCAGGACCCACAGGTGCCTCAGTTCTTGTACGGCTCCCTTCTCCTCACTGCCCCCTGTCCCTTCCCAGCAGGCTGGGACTTTTCACATGTGGTCTATTTCCAGGGCTGGGAGTGGTTGGTCTGGGGATGGGGAGGCAGAGGCCTGGGTAGTATAGGGTTAGCAGCAGCACTGGGGGGAATCCATCAGGCATCAGATGCCTGAGGTGGGGCACTGCTCAGCAGGGCCCCTATGTCCAGGGCACGCCCCCCACCCTGCCCACCACACCAACATGGTGCAATAAATAGTTTCAAGTAGTAAGTCAGTGTCAGGCAGTCAGTGTCCCACTGGAGGCTGGTGGGACAGGCAAGGGGCTTAGAGACAGAAGCTCCCAGCCACTGAGTCCTTTCAGCAGTCCGCTGTGTGCACAAAAGTGGGGACCTGGCCCCATGTCTATGTGGACACTCCCTGCAGGGGCTCAGCCCCTCAGACCAGTGCCAAAGCCTGCTCGGTGGGGCAGAAGCAGGGCAGCATGGTGCCCACAGCGTCCACGATGGCTGCCAGGTGCTCGTCCTGTGCCTGGGGCCCACAGAGCTGCATGAAGTCCGCCAGGCGCAACAAGTACTCGAGGTTGTGGCCAGAGAAGCCGCGGCAAGCCAGGATCTGTGTTGCAATGGCCTCCTCAGGTGCAGGGCCCAGGTAACCAGGATTCTGGGGGGTAGCCACATAAGCCAATGCCTTGAGTGGCTGGTCAGGGGTATCTTGGGGGTAGAAGGTGACTTCCTTGGTATCATAGCCGCCAAGTACTGCTTCCCGCACGTTCAGGTACTTCAGGGCCTCGCTCACCTGCTCACCTCGAACCTGGTATGCCACACCCCAAGTGCAGCCCTAGAAGGAAACATGGACACCGGGGTCACCCAAAACAGCTCCTGGCTAGTCCCAACCCAGGTCTGTGCTCTATAAGAAAAGAGGGTAGGGGACTGATGAGTCATCTAGTAGCAATACATTAAGCTCGTTCTCCCTTTCTTAACAAGGTTTGACAGGTGGTCTGGCTCCAAGGCCAAGAGGATTCCTACTCACAGAGTGGTTTGAGAACCAGTGGCATCATCTGTACAATTAAGAGGAATGGGAGTTTCAGGCCACCCTCTAATCCTATTAAATCAAAATCTGCGTTTTAAGAAGATCCTCAGGTGATTCTAGTGAGAGGTACTGAGCTAGACCACCTTCCTCGCTGTCTGAAAGTCATCTAATCTAGCCTACAGCCAAGGACCCAGGAGCTCTCTCTGTCTGCAACCCTCCCTGCCAGGCCCTGGGGGGGGGGGGTCTCTCTCTTGACTCAGGCACTTACTTCACGATCTTCAAGGAGGGTCACGACACGGCCAGGCTGAGGAGGGAAGAAGAATTTTGGAAAAGGCAAGTTAGAAATCAGCTGTCACCAGTGTCAGAGGAAACGTTTATTAACCCTGCTGGTCCAGGCCTCAGTGAGTCCCACTCATCCAGGGGGAAGTGGAGAGAGTGATGCATGACTGCAGGAGAAATAGATACATGGCAGTGGCCCAAATTGATAATTAGAAATATTCATCAACATGGTGATCCACAGGATCACAGATTCTAGCCATCACAGGGATACACCGGGCACAGAAATTTAAGCCACAACCCCCAGGCACAGGTTTATACACTTCCCCCACCAGCATGGAGTGACCCTCTGCCCAGAGAGCCCCCGACATTCCAGGGCACTGATGCCCACTACCCTGCCCCCACCCCCTTCATTCCCCTGGGCACGGTCAGATGCTCACCATCTTGTCGCTGCCCCGATGGAAGGTGTCTCCCTGCCAGAAGCGGCGGCTGTAGCCGCGCACGAAGCCCACAAGGCTGTCACTGTAGGCGAAGTCGGGCCTCCACACCAAGGAGCCATACCCGAAAATCCACAGCGCTTGGGGGTCGCCGTCATCCGGGGGATGCTGCGCGGGTGGCGAGGGGGGTGGCGAGGGGGCTGGTGAGAGGGACGGCGAGGCGGGCGGGGTGTTCTGGGCTGTGGACTTCTGCTTCATGGTGCCGGGCTCAGGGACGGGCCCGGCGGCCTCCGAGGCTGGTCTCCGGCGCGGGCACGGAAGGACCGACGGACGCGCACACCTGGCCTGGCACCGCTCGGTCGCTCCAGCTGCGCGGCCCCGTCGGAGGCGCCTTTTAAACCCTCCGGCCGGGCGGGCCCCCGCCCACCGCGCCAGCTGCCGCGGTGATTGGGGCGGGGCAAATCCCCTTTTGACCAATCACCTTCGTGTTTTGCTTCCCGGTTAACCGCGCCGCCCTCTGAGTGGGTAACTGAGAGGCCAGCCCCCGGCCCAGCGCGCCCGGTGATTGGCTCGGCTTCACCTCTGTAGCAAACCCGGCAGGAGTGATGCAACCGCGGGGGAGGTTCCCCCAGCTCCCGCATGCAGCAAGGGCACCTCGGATTGCGTCAGGCGGCGGGCAGTGGACAGTGGGCACGGACGCGGGCACCGATCGTCCCTCCGGCAGCCCCTCCATGGCCTACGCCCTTTAGGAACCACGACCAGCGTGTCCCAGGCGGGTGTCTCCCCAGCAGCCCTGTCGGTGCACCTGTTCGGGTCACTACCACCCCAGACAGCACTGACTCATTAACAGGGCCAGTGCAGGGCATGTCCCGAAGGAGCTCTCTCAGCGGCGTAAATGCCAGTCTGTGGGGCTCCGCCTGGGAGCACATATTCTAGAGAAGCCGTTGGAGGCACCCTCTGCATTCCGCACAGGTGACTCACGCGGTTGGCCCGCGTGAGCAAATGGAGAAACTGAGTCACGGGGCTGGCTAGGGTTTCTGCAGAAGCTGACAGGCTGAGTCAGGCCGGGCGCCGGGAGCTTGCCGGCCTCACGTGAGGGCTACTCCCAGGGCCAGGTAGGCTTGGAGTGGAGCCTTTCAGCGCGCTTGCAACCACCGCTGTCACTTTGGCAGTGGTGTCCAAACCTGCAGAGAGAAGCCGTAAAGTCAGGCCACTTCTGCCCTAAGGCGATGGGTTTAGTTCTGACCGGACCTGAAACCAGCAACAATGGTTGCGTTCATCCTTAGGCGCAGAAATTCCGGGAGCTTCCGGGAGCAGCAGGCAAGGCAGCCAAATTGAGGCTCCGAGACAGCTATGATCAGCTACTGGCTTTCTGTCTTGGCTGCTGGCCTCCTGACCCACGGAAGGTCGGCCAGCCATCTGGGGTTGACCCCCTAAGCAGGAACAAAAGGCTGCCCCCTAGGGATGTCTGTGGCTGGAAAGGGGGAACAGAGGCAGGAGAAGGCCTGCTTCTGGAACTGCAGAACTGGCTGGAGGAAACAGCTAATGAGGTCCGGGGTGAGTCCTCTGGCAGGCCAAGTGGGCAACATTGCTTCTCATTAGATTCTAACTAGATATTTAAACTAAAAATTATCTGCACACTTAAAGTCGTCATTCCAAAAGTGTGTAAGATATATTCTCCAGTAGGAATGTTGCACCACAGTGTGTATAGTATGAAGCTAGTTCTTTTAAAACAAAGTAAGTGGGGCACCTGGGTGGCTCAGTCGTTAAGCATCTGCCTTCGGCTCAGGTCATGATCCCGGGGTCCTGGGATCGAGCCCCGCTATCGGGATCCCTGCTCTGCGGGAAGCCTGCTTCTCCCTCTCCCACTCCCCCTGCTTGTGTTCCCTCTCTCGCTGTGTCTCTCTCTGTCAAATAAATAAATAAAATTTTTAAAAAAAGATTTTTTATTTATTCATTTGAGACACAGAGATACAGAGAGAGAGAGCATGAGCAGGGGGAGAGGCAGAGGGAGAGGGAGAAGCAGGCTCCCCACTGAGCCAGGAGCCCAACGCCGGGCTCCATCCCAGGACCCTGGGATCACGACCCGAGCTGAAGGCAGACGCTTAACCGACTGAGCCCCCCAGGCGCCCCTGTGCTACTAGCTTCTTAAGGAGAATATTCCCCCCTCCATCTACCACCTTTGGGTAGCCGGGTAGGAGGCAGGAAACTGGTACCAACACATTCCTGGAAGTATCTGAATTGGCACAAACAATGCTTTGAAAAAGCAGCTTAGTGATATAAATCAAAAGTCATAAAATATCCCTGGCCTTTGACCCAATAGTTCCACTCCAGGAAATTATTCGAAATATGGGAAAAGTCATATGCCTAAAGATTTTTCAATGCATTGTTATTTATTATAGCAAAACAAAGAAGAAAAATTATTTAAATATCCAAAAATAACTTAATGTGTAAGTAAATTATGTGATCAATCCACATGGTGGAGAAATACATACAAAGTGAATAACTTAAATATGCAGCAATAGATGATTAGTTATATAAATTTGATATGGATATAAAATTAAAGCTGTGGAGTCATTAGAAACAATTATGTATGCTTCTATTTGCTGACACAGAAACCTATCTGTGATGTAGAATTCAGTGAAAAAGCAAGTTATAAAATAACCTAATATAACTATTTTAAACTTAAAAAGCCTATATGTGTTTATTGGCATAGAAAAACATCCACAAGAACACAAAAAGTTTCAGTGATTACCTCTGAGTAGTAGGACTACATGAGATTTGCACTTTCTTTTTCTTAAGATTTTATTTGTCAGAGAGAGAGAGCATAAGCCGGGGGGAGAGGCAGTCAGAGGGAGAAGCAGGCTCCCTGCTGAGCAAGGAGCCCAACATGAGGGGCTGTTGGGTGGCTCAGTTGGTTAAGCCACTGCCTTCAGCTCAGGTCATGATCCCGGAGTCCTGGGGTTGAGTTCCACGTCAGGCTCCCTGCTCAGCAGGGAGCCTGCTTCTCCCTCTGACCCTCTCCCCTCTCACGCTGTTTCTCACTCTCTCTTTCCCTCTCAAATAAATCAATAAATAAAATATATAAAAAAAAAAAAAGGAGCCCAACACGGGACTTGATTCTGGGACCCTGGGATCATGACCTCAGCCGAGGGCAGATGCTCAACACACTAAGCCACCCAGGCGTCCCTGCACTTTCTTTTTTATTTGCCAATTCAGATTGGCAAAAAATCCAGTCTAGGATTTTTGAAGAAACATAAACCACTTCTATTTAGAAAAGAAAAAGTCACAATAAAAATCCATTATAAAAAAATGTAGTAAAAATGCCCAGGGCCGCATAGTCAGGCAAAAATGCAAACTATGAACTATCACATGCACTATTATTAAAACTATTAAAACAACAATAACAAGATACATGAGGAAAAAGATGGGAGCATCATACCAATGATGGATGTGTTGAGGTATTAGGACTATGGGTGATTCTTCTCTCTCTTTTTCAAGCCTTATGAAATGTAATTTTTTTTTTAAAGATTTTATTTATTTATTCATGAGAGACAGAGAGAGAGAGAGAGAGAGGCAGAGGGAGAAGCAGGCTCCCAAGGAGCAGGGAGCCTGATGCGGAACTCGATCCCAGGACCCTGGGATCATGACCTGAGCCGAAGGCAGTCGCTTAACCATCTGAGCCACCCAGGCGCCCTGAAATGTAATTTTTAGTAATAAAAAGTTACTTTTAAAGGGTAGTTCATGGTTTTCTGGTGGCTAAGGGGCATACAGAATTACATGGGGAATATTTTCAAGATGCACATTGGCCAACTTCCTCGCACCAGAACAAAGCCCCAGTGGAGAGGTCCTCAGTAACTCCAGGTAAGTTAGGCACTTCCTCCTCTGTTCTCCCACAATCCCTTACCTCACTTCTGTTTATCTGTCCCCTCTGCCTCATGCTTCTAACTGAAACAATCATTTGTTGAGCACTTACCATGAACCAGGCAGTTTGCTAAATGCTTTACATTCATTCTGATTACAAACTTCTCCCCTACTTTGTGAGGTAAATATCATTTCACAGATGAGCAAATGGAAGCACAGGAAAGGTAGGTAAGCCACTCATGGGGATGCCCAGCCAGTCACAGAGCCTAGGTCTGAAGGCAGATAGACCAACCCTGGATCCTCCTTACTGGTAAGCTCTTGATATCCTGCTTCCTGAGAGCAGATGTCATCTTTGAAGTCCCCGAGGGACCCACACAGTGCTGGCTCTTGGAAGGTTCTCCACAAGAGTAGGTGGAGGAGGGGCGCCTGGGTGGCTCAGTCGTTAAGCGTCTGCCTTCGGCTCAGGTCGTGATCCCAGGGTCCTGGGATCGAGTCCTACATCGGGCTCCCTGCTCAGCGGGAAGCCTGCTTCTCCCTCTCCCACTCCCCCTGCTTGTGTTCCCTCTCTCGCTGTCTCTCTCTGTCAAATAAATAAAAAAAAAAAAAAGGAGTAGGTAGAAGAAGTGGAGCTTTTACTTTGAAAAGGCCGGGGCACCCTGAAGTTCAGACAAGGAGGAATTCTGAAAGACACAGGTTCAACTCTGACCCTCTCATAATAGGAATCCCCACAAAAGTTGGCCCAGGGGTCTTGGCCACCTTCCTGGGAATATATCTCGCCTGTTCCCATTCCTCATTTACCCTTGCCAACAACATCTGTCTCCTTCCCTTCCAGTGGGACACTCCCAGGCAGTAAACCATCCCACTCAGCGGATTCCTAACTTCTGCAGCAGCCGTCCCATCTTTCCTCTGAAAATCCCCTCAGGAAGGGGGTGCACATGTCATCCCCATGGAAGTACCACCTCTTGAGAGAGGATTCCCTCCACCTGGAAGAGTGGCACATGATTTGCACATGAGGCACACATGATGGCTTCCTATTCTGGACCTTTCCCAAATTAATCTTTCCTTATTGTTCCCCTTCAGGCAATCACTTCTCATTTCCTTATGATCTGTTCCTTCCCACTTCTCATTCCAGTCACTGCACTCAACGCCCGGTGTCAGTGGGCACAATTATCTGAACCAAGGGAAGGGTGTGTTTTAGGAGCTTGGGAGCCATGCTAATGTATTATGCTAAGTGATGAGGTTGCTTTATAAAGCTGCTGATTCCCAAGGGATGAAAAAAACCTTCCCAGACATGGGCTCTAAGCCTGGCTTGCCCAGATTTGAGCCCACCACCACCATTTACCATCAGATACACTGTCTCTGGTTCTCAGTTTTCTCAACTGTGAAATGGGGGATAATAGCATCCACCTTGTGGGTTCTGATGAGGATTGAAGAAATAACACCTTAGCACCTGGCATGAGGGAGCACTTAATATAGTTGGCTCATTATTTTTACTATAGACTTTTTCACTTTCCATTTTATCCAGGATAGAGCCACATAGCCTATGATTTATTTATTTTTCTTCTTAAAGACAGAACGAGCAAGGAGCAGCCTCCTGGATGAGCAGGGAGCCAATGCAGGACTCCATCCCTGGGATCATGACCTGAGCTGAAGGCAGATGTTTAACCAACTGAGCCACCCAGGCACCCTAGCCTATGATTTATAATAAGAAATATATAGGGGCACCAGGGTGGCTCAGTCAGTTGGGGGTCCAACTCTTGGTTTTGGCTCAGGTCGT